AGCAGCAGCAGCAGATGCAGCAGCAGATGCTTCCCGGCGCTACACAAAGAACTGCAGCAGCCAGGCATAGCAGCAGCAGCTGCAGCAAGTGCTGCAGCAGCAAAAGCAGCAGCAAACCTAGCAGCTGCTGCAGCGGCGAACCCAGCAGCAGCAGCAGCAGCGACTCCACCAGCAGCAAGTAAACACGCAGCAGCAGCAGCAGCAGCAGCAGCAGCAGCAGCAAGTTCTCACCAACTGGCCCTCCAAGTTTTGTTGACTTTGTCAAAACGCACACCCACAACTTTGGGCAGAGCTGTTCGCTGCTGCTGCTGCTCCAGGTCTTGCTGCTGCTGCTGGTCCAGCTGCTGCGGGTGTGGGGGGGGAGGCAGCAGCTGCTGCTGCGGCAGCAGCAGCCCCTTGACGCCGGCGCCGTAGTCCTGCTGCTGCAGCAGCTGCTGCTGGTGCTGCTTCAGCTGCTGCTGCAGCAGCAGCTGCTGCTGCAGCAGCAGCGCCGAGGAGACGTCCACTCCCCCCGCAACTTGGTACATGGAGACCATGTCGTGCTGCTGCTGCTCGAGCTGCTGCAGCTGCAGCTGGTGGAGCTGCTGCTGCTGCAGCTGCTGCTGCTCCAGCTGCTGCTGCAGCTGCTGCTGCTGCAGCTGGTGGTCCAGGGGCAGCTGGTCTGCGGCGCCGCTGACATCATGCAAGGTCGACAGATGGTGAAGCTGGGGCTGCAGCTGCTGCTGCTGCAGCTGCTGCTGCTGCAGCTGCTGCTGCTGCAGCTGCTGCTGCTGCTCCAGCTGCTCCTGCAGCTGCTGCTGCTGCAGCTGCCCCTGCAGCTGCTCCTCCTTTATGGATTTCGCCGACGCAAAGGCTGCTGCTTGCACAGCAGAGTCTGCTGCTGTTGGAGCAGCAGCAGGAGTTGGAGTGGTTGCTGCTGCTGCTGCTGGAGAAGGCTCCGGTGTACATACACCGTCGAGCTGCAGCTGCATAGGGTCCCCTGCTGCTGCTGCTGCTGCTGCTACGCCTTCCTGCTGCTGCTCCTCTGCTGCGCGGTACAGAGACGCGAAGGGAGCCCCTTGACCGTTGCTGTCGCTACTTGGTGTTCGGCTAGCTGCTGCTGCTGCTGCTGCTGCTGCTGCCTCGGGCACGAGCGCCTTCTGCTGCTGCTGCTGCAGCAGCGTCAATTGTTGCTGCATTGGACTGCATCAAATGCACAGCCAATGCAGATACAGCGGCGGGTTGAGAGCCTGTGGTGTTTAGCAGCAGCAGCAGCAATAGTGCACGTGGTGTACGTACACCGCAGCTGCTGCAGCAGCAGCAGCAGCAGCAGCAGCCGAAGCAGCAGCAGCAGCAGATAGAAGAGAACCCCCAGCGCGGCCCAGGGGCCCCAGAGACTAACTGCTAGAAGTAGAGGGGCGGGGGGACTCAGCTTACTTTGGTGCTGCTGTGGCACGGTGTCCTATGCAGCAGCAGCAGCTGCTGCTGCTGCGCCTGCTGCTGCCGCGTCTCTCTGGAGGAGCCCGGCGTTAGGAAGAAAGATCCAGCCAAAAGAAAAAGGAGATAAGTTGAAACAGCTGCAGGAAAGAGAGTCTGCTGCTGCTGCTGCTGCTGCTGCTACAGGTGCCTCCACCGCGGCTGCCGGAGCAGCAGCAGCTCGCGGCGCTGTGTGTTGCTGCTGGTGCTGCTGCTGCTGCACTCATGCAGTTGGTGCTGCAGCAAAACCTTCTTTATATTTAATAGCACTCGGCTGCGGCTGCAGAGAAGCTGCTGCTGCAGCCCTGGGGCTGGGGGTGGCACCGCGACAAGAGGCAGCAGAATGAGGGGTGCTACTGCTGTGCTGCTGCAGCAGCAACAACCAGCTTCTATAGGAGGTGCTTGTTGCAGCGTTATTTACTTAAGTGCGTCACGTTAGCTGCTGCGACAACTGCTGCAGCAGCCACTTGGAGGCTGCTGCTGCAGCGGCGAGGGTGGCAGCAAGGGCTGCAGCAGCAGCAGCAGCAGCAGCAGCAGCAGCCGTCGTTACCCTGCAAACGGCTGCCGCTACCTTGCATGGGTTTAGCAGCAGACACCCCTCAATAGCCCATTCAAAAGCCACCAGAAAACAAAAAACAAGTTTTTAAATCATATTAAAACTGGATAAATAAACACACAGAGCAAAAGCAGCAAAACATTCGAGGCTGCTGCCTCGTGTGCTGCTTCCTGGCCGTGCGCCGGTGCTAGGCGCGGGCGCCGCAGCAGCTTAGCAGCCTGCAGCAGCAAAATAAAGGTTTTAAAAGATAAAAAGATTTAAATGGACAAGTTTTATTGTTAGGAAACAGAAGCACGAGTCGCCGGCGGGCCCTGCTGCTGCTGCGGCAGCAGCAGGCTGCGCTGCAGCGCAGCTGCTGCAGCGGGGCGGCAGCAGCAGCAGAGGCAAGACCAAATGGAGTTTATTTGCATGCGCGTGAGGCAGCAAATAAAAGGCCTGCATTTCAGAGTTCGCCTTCGAAGTAGCGCAGCTGCGGGGCTGCTGCGGCCGCCGTGCTGCTGCTGCTGCTGCTGCTGCGCAGCAGCAGCAGCAGCACGGCGCCGGCGGCCCCAGAGCTGGTGCTTTGCTGCAGCAAAGCTGCAGCAGCTAAAGCCCAGCAGCAGCAGCACGAGAGGGCCGCAGCCTTCGCGGGCTTAGGCCTGGGGCCTCGAGATCTGGCCGTCTTTGGCTGGGTCTTGTGCGTAGGACTTGTGCGGAGGCACTTGCAGACATGTGTACTTAAAAGCAAAAGACAATTATATTTCTTTAAATGAAATTATTTCTAGCTAGCTATTCCGCGAGCTCTGCGAGGGCCACACACTGCTGCTGAGACTGTGGCCTCTGTGGCTAGCTGCTGCTGCTGCTGCGCAGTTTGCTGCGCTGCAGCAGCCCCAGGACTTTGCCTTAGTCAGAGCCCCCGGGCTGCTGCTGCAGCAGCTGCAGCAGCAGCAGCAGCAGCAGCCCCGAAGCTCGCGAGTTTCTCTGCTGCCTCACTGTCTCGGGGGAGCCATTCACCCCGTAGACTGCAGCTCTCCTGCTGTTTCTATTCCCGTAACATTTTGCTGCTGCAGCAGCAGCAGCAGCAGCAGCTTTTCAATGAAAGCTGGCCTTTGACAGGCAGCTAAGGCTCTGCTGAGCCGCGCATCTTTTCTCAAAAAGCTTTGCATGCAAAAGTTCGATGAGATCATTTTATAAAAATGTCCCGCGGGCCAACAGAATAAGAAAGATCTGCTGCAGCCAGCATCTTTTATCAAATGAAATTAGATGGAAAAGGCATATAATGAGTCTTTTTAAGAAAGTCCAAAAAGGGTTTTTGTTTTCTAATTAATAAAACCCAAAAAGGGTTTTTGTCTTCTAAGGGAGGCTCAGCAAGAAGCAGCAAACGAGTTTCTTGCTGCACTCAAATGCTCTTGGGTTCTTCTAAGATGGGTCTGTTCCACTTACTAATTTCCAGTTTTATTTCTTTTCTTTTCTGCAATGAAATACTTCATTTTTTGTGAGCATGCGCCGGTGTAAAAGCCTTGAAGAGCCAGCTATGCTGCCCCTTGATCTATCAATAGCTCTCAAGTTTCTTTAAAATTGCTCGGAGCTAATTTATTTTTCTGCCTAATGAACAGAGTCTAAACTTCAGAATGTTTCTCATTTGCAAAGTGGAAGTGTTTGGCGCAGCAACTTTGTTGCTTTCAACCACAAGTTTCTTTGCTGAGACTTTTCTCCAACTCATGTGGACTCTGGGCCGTTATCTTTTTTCTGAACTATTTCAGTTAAAATGATTTGTAATCGAAGGCATTAAAAGAAGCTTTGTGGAGATCGGAAAGACCCAAGAAATCGAACATCTGGGCCATTTGGCCAAAGGCATGAGGCCCCCTAGAAAGTAATTTATATACTTGGGGTGGATAGCTGCAGCAGCTAATAGCTGCAGCAGCTGCAGCTATTAGCAGACAGTCCTTAGTTCGCAGAGGCTTTATTTACTTTTGTTTGTTTTCCCAATCAAAGACCAATGGTCATGCTTTTAGTCATCTTTCTTGTAGAGCCTCTGCAGCTGCAGCTATTTGCAAACAGTGAATAGTTCGCGAATGCTTCACTTCCCTTTGTTTCCTTTTCCAATCAATTGCCATTTGGCATTCTTTCTAATTATCTTCTCGCCAAGTTGGCATTCTCTCTAATTATCTCGCCAAGCTTTTGCCTAGAGCTCGAAGTGGGTAAGCTCTGAGCTCTGAGTCCTCAGGCATTTTTGTTTGCTTGTTTTAGAGCTGCAGTTTTCCTTGAGCAGCGGCGGACATACAAAATGAATGCCCGCTAAATGCAGTTTTTTCTTTTTTAGTTTTGCAAGAACCAGAATTCTTCCACTAAGAAGTCTTCAGAAGAAAGAAATCAAATTCCTTGTCGGGCAAATTCCATTTTGAATTGCGCAACGACTTTCGCAATGCCTTCGATGCAAGACATTATTATATTATTATTATTATAAAAATACTTTTTTATCTTCAAAAGCACTTCTGATGCTGAGGCCTTAATATTTCTTCAAGTTCACCGTTTTTGGTCAAAGCCCTTTTTTGCTGCCTATCTTCGCGGCGCCACGGCAAAAAATAAATTCGCAAAAATTTCAAAGTAAACACCAATAGCTGAGTTTAACTGCAACTGTAGTGCTGCGGCTGCGCGCTAGCCCAATCTGAAAGATCTTTTTTGTTGAGGACTTCCTGAGTTTGTTTGGAGAATGCTTGGATGAGACTCATGCCGTTTCGTTGCTGCAGAGGCCATCTAGGCTTTCCCTTTCAATATTCTAGCTGTGGAGGTGATGCAATTTGATGTATGAGGGCCTTTTTTGCAATACAAATGGTATTTGGACTTCCCGTAAAAAGGGCTTCTACTCCCAGGAAAAGCCCCGCTGAATGTATGCCTCTTTGCTTTGATGCACAAAAGTGGACATCAATGTCTTTTGGGCATTTATAATTTTTGATGTTAAAGTTTTCCCCACTGAAGTGACATATCTGAGGAACTTGCAAGAGCAAAA